CCCGGTAAATGGAAACATGGACTAAAATCTGCGGGCCAGTTCCTGGTGGTTCAACTTTGACCCCATTTGAAAAGTAGTGGGGACGGGTTTTCAGGTGAAATCGTCCAGGTTTTGCCATTTGCCAGGGTTCCATTTGCCAGTTGGGGGTGACCCGATGTTTGTGACCAAAACAAACAAATTTGGGGTTGCTTCATGGTATTATTGAAGCCGCCCGCCACTTTTGAGGTACCTGTTCAAATTCACAGGCATTTGGTACCCTGTTTGATGCCCAGGAAGAGTCAGTGGGGCACTTTGACACTGAACGGGTTTGCGGTTTTATGTAGTGGGGCTGCAACCCACCAGCTTCTTTGTAACAATGTCCCCACCCGTCTTGTGCGGGAAGCGAGCGCATGTGATAGGGGCAACTTCAACTTGGATCCACCAGCGGAAAAGAAGCTGGATCCGTGGGGCATCGCGCTGAAGGACTTTACTCCGGCAAAATCATTGTTTCCTACAGCCGGTCAACCCCCTGCACAAAGTGCAGCCTGATGGGAGCTCCAATACTGTGGACGGACGAAACTCTGCACCACTTGGGATGGATGAAATCTCGGAGACACCGCGGAATATGCGGTGCGAAACGGATTTTGTCCATCCACAGTAGTTTTTCGGTTTGAGCATTTTGGTAAGGTTGTCCGCGCAAACATGGCAGACCACCTTCGGAGGTAGATGCGCAAGATGCAATCTGGTGGGTTGGTCTAGGCGACACTTTTTTATTTACCGGGGTCCCATTTGGGAAATCCCCTTATTTTTGAGCCACACCCAAATCTTGCTGGTGCTCAGTAGGGAATGCGGGAATGAACCCAGTTCTTTTAAAGGAAACCAGCAGTTGGATGGCTTATTAGATGGTCATTCCATCGATTTGGGTGTTAGGTTCGTTTGGGTTTCCCCCCCCTTTTTTTTCTCGTCTTCGCTGCTCCGTGTGGATCCGCCCGAGGTAACAAGGCCACGAACCACCTCTGCGGCGGCAATGGGCCCCTGGGGTGCAAAACCCCGAAGACCCCGGTCTCCGGGACGACCCCGGTAGCGGTGGCAGGCGGATCCCGCTGGACTGGGACGGGAGCCATTGGGTGCTTGATGCTGTTTGTTCGCCTTTTTTTTCTTCAATAGTTATTATCATTATTATCTTTTTTTGGAAATTTCTGCATTTCAGTTGCCGAGTCCGGTCCCATGTCACCTTGTTGCTTGGTGGGTTTTTAAGGGAACCCAGGGGAACAGGGAACACCACACTGCGCATGTTGGGGCCAGAGCCGCAAAACACGACATAGGGCCCAGCGGATGGCCGTTTCGCACCACACCAAAGCCCCAAATGAGTCCGTCAGACCAAGCGAGACCGCGCCAACCTCGCAGGTCGGCCGACTCCCAGGATACCGGCCGCCTTTAGCCCGGCCGTGCGGGGCCCCAGCTTTGCGACGGATGGCTCACAAAAAATCGAAGCCGAAATGGTGCCCTCAAGTTGTTTTTTCTTCTCCATCTTCCGCTACAACTCACGTGAATCACATATTGGCGTAGAATAATGAACAAATAACATGTTTTTCAAGTGCGAGCACCTCTGTATATGAAGCCAACAACCAAAACCTGCGGTCTTTTTTAATTTGGACCCACCCGCAAATGTGCGACATGGGTCAGGCCATTTTGGTTCTTCTCCACCTAAAAGCAATCAATCACTGGGGCTCTCATATGGATATGCCTTCTTTGTGGGGCCTCCCCCAAGATGTTTTTTATTTCCCCCCCCCCATTTGGTTTTCCTCTAGGCCAAACCCAGAAAGGGTACCCTCAAAGAAGACAGCTTCACATGAGGTTCGGTGAAAGTTACCAGTGTGGGGTCCATTTGGGATGGACCTGGGGAAACTCAGACTAATTTTTTTCCCACAACTCATGGCTGTGGCAGTGTCCATAATCGCTCCCATGTGGATGTAGACGATCGTAAGTATTGCTATGGGAACCATGACCCTGGCCCATAATTGGAGTTTCGACCATGGCACACTTGAGGTTTGGCAAAAAGGTTGGAAGTCTCCTGACCAAAGAGCCAGTGAGGGTAATTCAGGGGCCAAATGATTGCTACTATCATTCCCCTGTGATTCTCACGACTTATCGTTTTGTTGAAGTACCCTAGAACGCTGTGGAGGTGTTGTGGGAGTGGGTTCCCACTTACCCTTGACTCGAAGGGCTTCAAACCCCAAGGACGGGTGAGCCGCAATCAACACCTGGGTAATTGAGGACCAGGTTTTTGATCAGGACCTCTGCAATGAATTGGATGGCTATGTGTCCACGTGGTTTGTGACTGATGTATCAGGTTCCCACCAATCGGTGGTTTGGATTAGTGGTATTGGGTATGAGTCAAAAAAAAACACCAGGAATCGGACTTTGGGGGAGTTTCCTCCTGTTTTCTCCATATTTCCCAGACCAGCCAAAAAATCGATTTTGCTCACTCGGGGTGAACGCGTCCGGGCCCAAGGACTTCGACGTGGCCGCGCTCGGGGGCTTCGGCCCGCAGCGGACCAAGCAGATGCCAGGCGATGGGACCGGGACGGACCGAGCCTTGCCAGATGGTCACCGGTCCATTTGTTTTTTTGGGAAAAAAAGAACAACCACCCCCCCCAAAATGGTGCCTCCCCCTCAAAAACAACAAGAATGGGCGTGGTTTCATTTTGTTTTGGGGTTTGAACCTCGCTTTGGTTGATGAAAGGACTGCTTGGGGCGGTGCAGAATTCTGGGGTCCTCGAATCGGGTCAACGCAAGTTCCGACTGCCCCCACTCGCCTTGGACAGTCGTCCAGATTATGACGCATGCGTTGTGTCATGGTTCTCAGGGGACAGCACACAGTCGCGGCAGTTGTTTGCTTACACGGGACACAAGTTTGCTTTTCATTTGGAGGCCCTGCTTCACTGGCGCAAGCCACGCACAAGTCAATCTTTCTCGTGCAGCGCATTCCCTTTTTGGCGAGTCAAGTGAGATGGCAGGGTACTCAGACATGCGGCTGCCACCATTCTGCCCTGGTCGCCGTGCAAGTGCACGTCACCAGCCTGAACACTCCACGCCGATGAATAGCCCTGCCAAAGTACATCAATCTCCATTTGCTTAAGAGTATTTTTTATTTTCCCCTGTTGGTTTTAAAGGGAATCTATCACTACTGGACATATATATATTTACAGGGACTTCAGCAAATGGAAGTCAACAACTAAGAGAAACACAAACCAAACAACATAAACAAACAAGCACATGGTCGACGTGCCAGACGAACATTTTTTACCCCTTTGCCGCACAGGCCACGCCACGCCCTACGGCAAAGCGGCGCCGGCTCCGGTTTCGCTTGGCCGCCTGCGATGTGGTTCGCCTCTTGGGCCCAGGATGGGCTTTTGAAGGCCATCCCAGTGGTTCCTGAAGGCCTTTCTGGAGCTCGGGGTGAGCGCGTTTTTCCGATTTTTTTCTTCCGAATAATTTCACCCGGGAAATATAAGAAAAACAATTTTTAGCAGATCTGAGGACAGGGGATTTTAGGCACCTTGGGGTTGGCAAAGGCTTCTGGGATCATTCCCTCAAACCTGCTTGCGGGGCAATTCCTGTGGGTTTGTCAGAGGCAAGCAGCTCAAGTGGAAGGGACCCGCCGGTTTGCCGAATACTCGGTGCTGGTCACAGGGTGATTCGCTCCAGATCCGGTCGCAGATTTGGTTTTCGAACTGGAGGAAGGGTCATTTTGGTCGCGCCAGAATCCGAGGGAGCTGTGGCTCGATTCCCGCATCTTTTGCTTGTTGCCCGGATTGCATTTGCGCGTCTCTTTGGTTGAAGGTACCTGAAATTCTTGCACGTCGCAAGGAACCCCTGGCCATTTTGGTGGTCGCCCAACCCAGTTTGAGACACGTGCCAGGGCCTGGGCAAGGGCGGAATGATGGGCTTCGGCAAGGGCCAGGCGCTCCCAGGGCTCACGAGACGACCACCCAAGCGGCCATAGGAGTTTTGGGCCATGGAGCCTTGTAGCCATGGGGCGGAGCCGTTTCTTGACTGATCCATTTTCGACGATTGTAGACTTGTTTCCCTTTTGGGCAAATCAAACATGGGTTTAAGTCTGCCTTAAGCCTTGGGGTATAAAAATGGAACCCTGAGTGTGGGTATAGGTCGATATTAAACCACCAGGAACTGGACCGCAGGTTTTAGTCCACGCTTCCATTTGCCCGGGCAGCCCATTTTGGGCTTACCCTATTTTTGACCCAGTCGGCCACATAGGGAGTTTGACCATGGCGCAGACATGTCCTGATGAGAATTTGCCAGCTGTCCTTGCCATCCCACCAAAAGAACGCAAAGATTTTGTGTGCTCAATAGAGCGACCTGGCAAGCATTCCCTTGGGGGTGAGAGATCGAACCAGCAACGCCACGTAGATGGCGAATATGCACATGTTTTTTAGCTTCAGTGAGAAGCTTCAGGTTTACTAGTCTGTGAGTAGAGCATTTCGATGCATCCGATGAGTCAAAATGTACTCTAGAAGACACAGAGCTCGACAAGCTTAAATGGCTATGAATGAGCAAACACCCGCAAAGGCACTTTGGTGGACATTCCCCATACTCAATACTTGCCAGAGGAAAAATCAGTGAGTCGTGAAAGGACAGCGCTCCTTGTTGACATATGATGTCCCCTCAAATTGTCACCAGTTGAAAAGTCCGCTTAGGCAGAACGGGTTGCACCTTGATTTCAGGACTTAGACCGAAGCAGCCCAAAAAGGGCCCCCAGCTGCAGGCGCCCATTTTTTGTTCTTGGGTATTCGTGACAGAGGGCTCAACAGCCGCAAATTGGATGGGTTTCTTGCGTAATGGCAGCTTTTGACCTGAAGCGCTGGCAGGGCGAATGGAAGTGCAGATGTGGATTTGGCCCCTTGGCAGTTAGAATGCTGCACCAACATGCACAGCAACTGCCAACGCAGCTACATCTAGCGACAGAAACAAGGGTATGTCCCAAAATGGCAAACCGCTTTCCAAGCGAGCAGCAGGAAGCACAAACACTTGGAGGGGTGCCTGATTGGGAGACACGCACATACATCATACATATCGCCATTTTCCTGGAAGTTGTGTTTCACCCAGATCGCTGAAAGCTGAAAGGGGGGACTGATTTGTGAGATTGACGGCTGGGCGTTAGGGGGCATGCAGTGTGGGGTGATGGCGCATGTGCTGTTTTGGGGTGCTGGTGATGGTGTGGGCGCATTTTGCAAGATGGAGGGCTGGGTGCTAGGGGGCATGCAGTTTTGGGTGATGGATTGGCGGCTGGCTGCTAGCCGCCATGTAGTTGAGTTGTACTGTTCTGGGTGCTGTTTGGGATGCTGTTGGGTGCGGTCGCATTTTTGCGCGATTGATGGCGGGTGCTAGGGTGCTGGGGGCCTGCTGTCTGCTTTGGGGTGCTGTTTGGGGTGGTGCGGGTGACTGTGCCTGCGTATTCTTGCAGGATTCACGGCTGGGTGCTCTTGGGGTGCTGTTCGGGGTGTTGTTGGATGCTGATGGCGGCACAGGCGCCTTTTTGTGAGATTGATTGCAGGGCTAGGGGGGACGCAGTGTGGGGCGCTGGTGCTCGCGTAGTTCTTTGCTCTCTGGGGTCTATGCCGGCTTTTTTTTTGGGGGGGGGCATCTTGGCGTTTTTGTTTTTGGGGAGGGGGGGGGGGGTGGCATTTTGGCGTTCTTTTGTTTGTCGATTAACAAAATGGCAGGCTTGGGGGATATTCAGGCGAGAGCCGGGACTGAGACCGTTCGGCCCAGGCAACAAGGCCTCCAACCTGCCGCACAGCTGCATTTGCTGCGACTCGGGTGGGCCAAGTGATGAGCGGCGGTTTTCCCGAAGCTCCCCCTTGGCCATTCAAGTAGGTGGGTCTACCTGGTTTCGGGCTCGGGCACAATGCCTATGTAAAGGCATGACCATCTTGCTGATGTGACTTGTGCGATAAGTTGGCTCTCAAACCGAAGGCTGAAATACATTCTTAACAGCATGCCCTGGCAAATATAGGTGTGTCCTTTTTGAGGGTACGACTGAAGGGCCACCCATTTTGAGGGTCCCTTGAGACACACCCATGTCCAGACGAACAGATGAGATGATCGAGATCAGTAAAAGGTCGTTCTTCTTTGGTGTACTGCGGCTATGCACCCAGGGCTCATGCTCCAACCCAGGCTTTTGGCAGTATGTTTCATGCATAGGATGGTCCTTGTGTGTGTCCTCCGACATCAGGAGGTATCTAGGGACCCCTGTTCAGCTTGAACGGACCCATGCGATCATTTTCCGGAACTCCGACGGAGCTTCCCAAACCTTGGCTGCTCCAAGGGGACAAGTGTTTGTGTTTTTTTCGGACGCCCCGGTGGTCCGTGCTGGTCTGGTTTTCCTTTAGGGCGTCATTCTTTCTTTAAACAAAAACATCTCCGGGTCGCTCCGTCAGGGTCTGCGGCGGTGCCAACGGCACGCTGGGCTGCAAGGCTGGGAAGGAGTGGATCTGTGGAGCCTCGGCCGGATGGATCCGCTCGTCCACTTCACCCTCAGCTGAGCCACAAACAAAACCGATTCGGGTAGATGATCTGGTTGGCAAGGGAGAATCCCCTTGCCATGAATAGCTGCGGCCTTCTTAATTCTTGACATGGTTCTGGGTCGACCATTTTAATACAGGGTTTGGATTGTGACTCAGCTCATGTTTTCGATTTCACAGAAGCAAGGTCTTAGGAAAAAACCGCGCCTTTCCACTAGTCCCTCGAGCGATCGGCGGGACTTTTCCTCGATACTGCCGCTCCGTCCCCTTTCCTGACCGCGTTGGTTGTTTGTTTCTTTCTTCTTTCTTACCGCGATATCGACATGACTCTGGAAAAAACACGGACGTGGCTGGACATAAATCTAGGGGCTCACATAGCATGAGGCCTGAGATGGCGATCGGGTGCTGCTCAGGGCGAGTTGAGTTGAGCACTTGGATGCTGGACCATGTTGGCACGACCAGGGGCCGCCTTCAAGAAAGAACGCCTTTCCAGTGTTCCGCGGGGCGAACCTGGTTTATGTTGGCACCTTGCCAGCGCCACAGCCATTTCTCTTAAGATTCTTTTTGGGTGGACGTGGCGATGTAGCCTTTGGCTCGCAGCTTGCCGGTTGGCGAGCAACGGTGGTGTTGGGGTTGATCCCCGGGTGTGTGGTGTATCTCTCAAGCCCAATGAACTCAGATGGCTGTGGGTCAAAACCAATGGGATCCCATTTTGGGGTAGGTAAATTCACCACCCATTTTAGTCCTTTTTTAGTGGGGATTGGGATGTTCACTGGGGGTACGATTCGGATTTTGACCCATGGCCAGATGGCTTCAAAGAGACCTCTGCAGATTGACAAGGTGAAAAGAGACACTTCCATGGCTCAGTGAGAGTGGGAGGCCCAAACAGGAGTCCACGGGACTCGACGCTGATTTTTTTCTCCGAGTGTTCCGTGAGCCCAAGGCGCCCAGCTCGCCCAGTGACGTTGCTTCCTGGCTTTCGGCCGCCCAGGTGCTTGCAACTTTGTAAACAAGAACGCCAACACCGTCTGCGGCAGGGGCCCTTGCGATGCAAAGAAGCTCAGCTGGGTGTGGCTCAAAATGGAAAAGGAGGAGCAAACCGCAGGTTTCGGTCCATGTTTCCACTTGCCAGGGCAACCCATTTTGGAATTCCGGTTTTTTGAGCCGCCAGCTGGCAGGGTTTCGACCAAAAAGAAACTTCGCTCGCGGAGGTGGGGAGCACGGCACAGTGGGCTGCAAGTCGCCCAACATGGAGGACTGGAGCTGGCTTATGCTGAGAAATGGATGGGCTTCCACTGGTTTAGATGGGCATTATAGCATATAACGCCCCATGTACCAGGGACACCCATCTATGTGTGCAGAAGGTCGCCGAGGGAATTGATGGGCATGCATATGGTGATTTCTGTGGGCTGGGCTGCAGGGGCGCCACAGTTTTGAGGGATTTGATGGGGATCGAGGGCATGGAGCATCTCGGCAGGCCCTGGCAACCACCGCGCTTGCGGCGTTCGACCTCAAGGCCTTCATGCCGCAGGGGACCCCGGAGACTCCGGAGGCTTCGCCGGGACGGAGGCGGACGTGGGCCCTGAGCTTTGGTTGATGGGCCCTGAGCTTGGGTTTCGTTGACTTCTCCCAGGTCAGATGGCTCCAAAGTCAGCCCGGATTTTTTTTTCTCAGGGAGAGCCCCGAGCCAGGCGGTTCTGGTTCCCTACTCCAAGGGCGGAAGGGTGGCCCTGTGCCCAACAAAACAGAGGCCTCTCCCAGACGTGGAAGCTCCGACCCCGAGCTTCCATGTTAGAGGGAGTCTATGTTGGGCCAGGGCCAGAAATCAGACAGCGAAACACCAGGGCAGGAGCCTGGGGGGCTAGGACTGGTTACAGGAGTGATGAAGTAAGGCAGACGGAGAAGCAGGAGGGCAAGCCAGAGGCGCTTTTCGCCGGGAAGACCCAACCTGGTGGACGCTTTTTGAGGGGACCCCAAGGTTTCTTGAAGGCCAGGCGCCAGCAAAGGCAGAGTCTGTGCTCTGGCCCCCTCGCCGACTTGGTTGGGGGGGCTTGGGCGGTGCCCGGCAAGGACCCTGGTCTTTGCGTCCCCCTTTCAAGCGGCGGAGGTGTTTCTTGGACACTTGCTGACTTGCTGACTTGCTGGGTCGGTGCTAGGCCTCTGCCCACCAGCTTCTTCTGCGGTGATTACGGTGTGCAAATTCGATTCATTGCCTACTATCCATTCATGGAAGATCCGGATGATCCACCAGCTTCCCCTGTGCGGTGATTGCGGTGTGTGCAAAGTCCTTATCCTTGGAATGATCCCTGGCCTATCCATTCATGATTCCGGCTCTAAGCTCGTCTTGCGTGGCCTCCGGTCGGCCGTGTGGCTTTTCCGTGCCTTGATGCGAGTGCATCAACGAGTACACCAACGCCCCTCGTGTATTTTTGTGTACGATAAGAACCCTGGCGTATGCCGCACTCTGGCTTTTCGGGCTTCGTCTCAACCTTATGTACTGGACTTCATTGTTCATCTTGTACCTCGGTCGTCGACTATACCTGGAGCCCCAGTGCTTTTGGCTTCTGGTGGCTTTTTCGAATCACCGGGGCCCCATCCCAGCCTCGGTGCTTCTGCCATTTCGGGTCTGTTGCCATTTTGCTGAGGTGGGTTTGCGAGTTTTCTCGGACTCTTCTGGGAGATTTGGCTGTTGCAAGGCGCAGGGTCGGCAGCCCCCAGCATGTAATTTGGTCTCGCGGAGACCTCAAGGAATACGCTCCCCTAGACTCACCAAACCGCAAACCTACCCCAAACCTATCCCACACCTACCCAAACCTACCCCAAACCTACCCCAAGCTGACACTAACCTTGATTGCGCCCTACAGTAAAGCCCACCCACATTCTAGGACTTGGACAGCGAAGTGGCAGTCTGGAAGATGGCTCCATGCACGGCGTTCTGGGGATCAGCTGCGGGCGCCAGCAAACACTTCCCACGGCAGAGCTTGTTCCGTGCACAGATACAGCTGCAGAGGTGTCTTTCGGGGCAACAAGCCAATTCCAACAAACGCATTTGTCCATTCAGCGCATGTTCATGGAATGCCAGCATGATTTTGCGTGCTTTCTGAAGATGCAGAGATCCGAGAGCAGTGAGAAGTATGGCTGTGGGTCAAAAGCAATGGTACCATGTTGGGGTAGGTGCACCACCCATTTTAGTCCATTTTAGAGGTTGGTTTGGGATGTTAACTGGGGAATCGATTTGGATTTTGGCCCATGGCCCTTCGTCAAAGGTGCATGGGTTCAACGGAGTCACAGGCCGAATGAGAATCAAGCTCGTTGCCCGCCCAAAACCGGCCCAGGCAGATGATGGAACCACAGTGGGCCGCTGGCTCGGAGAAACGAGCGCTCCAAGGCAGCCGTGATTCCAAGGGTAGCTTCCAATTCCATTTTTTGCCAGGGATTCTTTCCAGAAAACCACCAAAAGGTTTGGGAGAACAGCTGGTTTTTTGAAAAGAACGATGATTGAACAGGATGGACAAGGAATCTACCCCTAGAGTGATTGCCCTTCGGAACTTGCGGGCAGTTGGTTGCCGCCTCTCAACGGTGAGTTGTGGGGGCGAACCTGACCGAGAGAGCCTTAACGAAGAACCTCCCCGTGAAGAGAAAGGCAGAAGGCGGCGCTGTGCAGCCAAGGCCTGCCTCTGCGGCTTCAAAAACAAAGCGCCCTGGTCCGAACTTCGGCGCCTGCGTCAAGGAGCCACAGCTGTTGACCCCATATGAATCAAGCCCAGTCGATTAATACTGTGGATGGACGAAATCCGTTTCGCACCTCTTGGAAGTTGTTTACTGGGATTACAGGGGATTCATCATTCCAGGGCTTCTTAGGTGGTGCGAAATGGATTTCGTCCATCCGCAGTAGGGGGTGTGTCCCCTCCAAAAGTGCTGATTCGCCACTCAACCCAGGGACACCCTACAAATTTGCAGGGCTGGATGAATGGAGGCGAGAATCGTCCACAGGAACCGGGCAGAAAGTTTGGGAGCTGAGTGACCTGGGAGCGTCACCAAGCCTTGGGTGGTAGAGGCTTGGTCAAGAAATGCTGTGGGCCATGCTTGGGCTCCCTCTCAGCACTGAAGTCAGCGTTGCATAGGCTTGCGTGGGCATTCGATTCGTGTGGCAACTCAAAGGCGAAGTCACCATTTTCATGATTGAAGTGTTCCCAGCAGGTTGCTTAACCATGCCTTAAAACATTTTTAAACCCATTGATTGATTGCGTTCTTCCTCTCCGACTCGCGCGAGTCAATCAACTCTGAGGCCAGCAACAGCGTCTGTGGCGGAGGCGGTCCATTGGGATGCAAGTTGCCTGGACAGCAAGCCGTCGCAAACCGTATGGCCGGCTCGTCCTTTTGTTGGCCCCCCCCCCTTCCGCCCTTCCCTCCCCCCAGCAGGAAACCACCTTGGGGCCGCCGCCTGGCATCAATGCGCGCGAGACACGGACGCGCACACGCACGGAGTCGTCCTGTCATGTCAATTTGGTTGAACATGGCCCTGGTTTCAGAGTATCGTTGGTTGCATGGGTGTTGATGTGATCGAGATGGAATAAACCTAAACATCGGCTCGCTGTTTCATGGCACAGGACAGAAGCACACAGAGACACAAAACACACACACACACAACCACACACGCACTGTCTCGTTGAAGCCAACTAGCAATTGGGCGTTGAAGCCAACAGTCGTGCCTGGAGCCAATCTCATCGTTTACCCTTCAAGAAGCTGGAAGAGTGTTTTCTGGAAGTGAACTCTAAGAGGTCTTTGGAACGAATGCACGGCGGGACATGGGCCACTTGTAGGGGAACCTGTTGGAAAGTAGCAAAGTCGTAGGGGTGGGCATCCCATTTGAATGTGTTGGTATCTGCTTTAGGCAGCACTAGGTCCCAAAAGAAAAGAGGGCAAGGAGCCATGGGACCGCGTCAAAACCAGGGGCGCCTCTTGGTATCCTCCGCACGAGAAAACTTGGTATCCTCCGGCCGAGGCTGCCCAGGTCGGATGGGCAAGGCGGCGGCCACTTTTTTTCTGGGCCGGAGTGGCAGTGCGAGTGCGGCTTCAAGAACCAGCCGCTGGCCCGGAGGATTCGTTTCAGAACAGCACCCTAAATGTTCTGGAATCCCATTCTGGTGGGGGGGATTGGGGGGGTAGTTGGGTATGGGTCAAAGTTAAACCAGCAGGGGACCACAGGTTTTGGTCCTTGGTTCCATTTACCAGGGTTCCATTTCGAGTACCTATTTTTGACCCACAGCCAGTTGAGAGCAGGGTTCCTTGTGGTTTGACGGGGAACAGGTTTTAGTCTTCCGTTCCCATATACGGTGGCATTTCGGTACATTTTTTTGAGCCATATCCATATGATGCATTTATGTATATATATATATATGTATACACGATGTTTACGAAAGGGTTCCCAATGTGTCATGCCACCTTTCCTTTGACGTTGATGCCGCCTTCACGGTCATGATCATTGTTCTGCTGTTCTACAATACTTTAGGATATTCTCAATCTGGCCGAGATGAAGGAGCTATGTTGCAATCCCATTGGAAAGTAGAAACTAAGTACACACGCACGCGCGCGCACACACAGACACACGCACACAAATCTACTCGCGCAATGGGCACAAATGGTTGCCCAAAGCAACTGTCAACATTTGCTCTGGGAGGCATATTTTACAAGAGAGAGCGAGGGAGCGGGAAGGAAGGAAGGAAGGAAGGAAGGAAGGAAGGAAGGAAGGCAGGAAGGAAGGCATGAAAGAAAGCCGGCCACTGACGATGAGCCCTGCTGGGGGGCAAATGAACAAGTACGGACTCAGACAAGCAAGGCACCTGTCCCAAACTATTCAGAGCCAACTCCAGAACATCCATGCCTTTTGCCGGGTGCCTTTAACAGACAGCAACCAACAACCAACAGTCAACAACCAAAGACCAAAAACCAACGCGGGTTCCGATCGCTTGCACAGGACTCTGTCTGCTTGTGTGTGTGTGTGTGTGCGCGTCCCAAAGGAACCCATGGGTCAACCAATTTGTGCTCGAATAGCATGCGCTTTGTTGCAAACAGTCAATGAAGATGAGCCGCTGGCTCAAGGTCAGTAAAGGGGAATCCCAAGCATCAATGGGTGCAGCCACCTTTCTATTTCCTTACCTGGTTCTGGGTAGACCATTGTGATATCAGGTTTGATTATGACTCACATGAAGAGACACTGAGAACCAAACCTATCACATTTCGTCAAGGAAAGGTGAGGTTACTTTGCCGAGAGTGCAACTCCTTGAACCGGAGGAGGCAAAACCTCAACCATGACAGCACAGCTCCTGTGGTTTGTGCAACATGATAGGCTGAGGCCGCCGTTTACTCCCAGCGAAGAGCGTTGCCAGTTGACACCCGATATCTTGATAATACCTTCTTGTCTTTCCTTGGTGTCTTGGATAAGCTTTGATTGCTGACATTGGATGGACTGGCAGTCCAAGTGGGATTTGTGCAGGATCCACTTGAACTGCGCTTGTCAAGAGCACGGTTTCAATGACACCTTGGGTTTAGCTGATGTATTGGGTTTGCCGAGTGGATTCAGGATAGGCTACACCAACACCAACACATACAAATGCAACTTGTGCAGGAACACCGGACTTTGTCAGACGGCATTTCAATAAATATGTGCGTGTCCACTGCCAACACAAACACAAACCTACAACCAGCAAACATTGTTCAACCATGTAAGCATTGTTTAAATATGTAAACGTTGATTTCTCCTCAAACATTGTTTGAAACTCAGATTCAATCGGTTGCTGAGCAGATATCTTGAGCCGCTGCGCGCGGTTCGCATCTGAGTCGGTTGCTTCGGATCTGACCGAATTTCCGCCAGACGCCGTTGCCTGATGCCATGAGGCCCTTGAACACCGCTGCTTGGCAGGGTTAGGGGTGACCGGGGGACCCGTGCGCCACGAAAGACGGCAAGGCGGAAAGACGGCGGGAAGCACCTCCCAAGTGGGTGTGTGTGTGTGTTTTGCATGGGACGCCGACATGCGGTTTTTTGGCTTTTCAAAAACAGATTGACGAGCCCGGACAGAAATACCCCGTGTCTACACTTGTGGCCCTCGTCAGATCAGTCCACTCCCCGGGCACCGCTTAGTTGTTCGCTTCAAAATGCAATGGGGTTGGTTGCGTTCAGAAGGCTCCTGTGAGCCAGGCATGGTGCCAGTGTGGCTTGGGGGCTTAGGCCAAAAGAAAGGCTCCACTCAAAGCATGCTTGAGGATTCTGGACGCAGTGGCACCAGTCTAGTCACCCTTGACAAGGCGGACTCTCGCTTTTGACACTAAGTTTTGTATGCTCAGCAGCAGAGTCATGGATGGGCATTTTATCAGCCAACGAGCAAATGAGCCAGTTGGGAGTTTACATGCAGCGGCTGAGTTTATGAACCGACCTCCATTGCCTCCAAAGAATGCTTACTGACTTTTTTGGCAAAGCGACACTCCAATCCTTCAAAAAGATGAATACAAGTCCCTCGATGTCACTTGTTTGGAGCTGGTACAGCGTGGCAATGGGAACCCAGCAGTAAATGGCAACCTTCGCAGGCCCCTCCCTCCCCCCAAAAAAAATAAAGGAAAAGAAACAGAAATGGGAAACATGACACAAAAACACCTAGGAATATCGCATCCACCCCCCCCCCACCCCCCATTTGCCTGTGCCGGGATGAAGCCGGGGCTGGGGATCTGTGGGTTGTGACGATCAGCGAGCACGCAGGTTTGCGGCGGCAATGGGCCCTTGGGCTGTAAGAAGGCTAAGCCACTAGCCCGAGCCTGAGCTCAGTGACGGGAGAAAAAGCAAGAGATGTAGGTACGGGTCAAAATAAAACCACCAGGAATTGGACCGCAGGTGTTGGTCTTTGGCTCCAGGTGTCTTTGGAGGTGGTTGGTTTGGTTTGGCTTTGGGTTTGTTTTCATCTTGTTGGGTTGGGTTGGGTTGGGCTGCCCTGGGCTGGGCTGGGCTGGGCTGGGCAGGCAGGCTGGCTGGTTGGTTGGGTGTTGCATGCATGCTATTGTACCATTTCTGCTGAAGCCCACCATGGATGCAAGCTTTGGAAGCCAACAAGCCGTGACCGAGCGAGCCACACATAACGACGACTGCCCTTTCTGGATTAGACATAGGATACACTTCACATTTGCCAGTGGCTCAAAGTGAAGCAACCAATAATAAATATGCATTCAATAAAGACTGCTTTGCACTCTAATCATTGAGTCAGCACGTCTTGGAGCCCTGACCATTGTTCCAAAGTTCAATGACTCAGCTTCGTGGGCTTCGTAAGGGCTGACCTGGGCTTCTTGGGAAGGCTCCCTGCCCCCCCTTTCAGGTTCCATGAGACCAAACGTTTGCTGACTAGGTGTGAGAGGCGGTGGGCAGTTGCCCGAGTGATGCGCCTCGGAGCGCGGCAAGCACAAAGGGGTGACAAAAAATCAGACGGGCTGAATGTAACACTTGGGACCAGCTCACCAGCTAACACGAACAAGCCGGGGCTCACACTGATTCCCTCCCTGCATTGTGCATCTCGCATGTCGTTGAAGCCCTAACACTTGCAATTCTACCCAGCTTCATTGCAGCAAAGTTGTCCTGTTGGCTCTCTGGGGACAGTCTGCCTGTAGCTCCAAGTATCAGACAGATCGGCAGTTGCCGGCAGCCGGCAGTTCCATGCAAAGAAAGCCATGAAAAGGCCCTGCTGCTCTGCTGTGGGTTTGTTTTCGCGGCCTTTGTAGGTGAGCCATATAAAGTTCTGCTGGATGAAAGTTGGTGGCAGAAGTGCGGCTGCCCTTGTGATTCACGGTAGACCCATTTAATACAAGATGTTGATTGTGACTCACGTGAGTAAAACACATGGCTATGACTCAATCATGATTGGCCTGGATTCACAAACTCTTGATTGAGCTCGGAAAAGTGTCCATGTTGGGGGCAGTGAGGATCATTCGAGGTTTGGGTCAACATTTCCAGTAGTCACTATGTCTCCCCCAAAAAGCGTGCGTATCCACATGCTTTGACCATGGCTCATTTTGCTCGACAACCTGGCCTGCAATGCAGGGGAATCATTGAGTGGGGAAGTGGGGATTTCGCTACATCAATCAGAGACATCCTCTACCCTTTTTCCCACTTCACAAGACTTTGGATTGAGCCTTTTCTTTAATTTTGTCTCCCTTTTTAAGTTTTCAAGACACACCCAAATGTCACAGAATGCCTAGTTCCCCGAAACATCCAACGCGTGTGGTCAATCACCCAAAGTCGGGTCGAATCGGGACGTTCGTCAGCTTGTTGGGTCTTATTGGTCACCATGGCCATAATTTGGTGCTCAATTGAGATTTGGACGAGCAGGGCCACCGTTTCCCTGTGCAAGATTCTTCACAAAGGTGGGACTACGAGTTTTGACCCCGGCACCGTGCGGCCAAACCACGGCGAAAACGGGTTGTTGCAAGCATGCCAGCCTCCCAGTCCAGAAAATGGCTCTTGTCTCCTGGTGCATTCGGAGCTGGCACCACTTTGCAAGCCCCGGGTTCTTTGGTCGAAGCTGTTGGGCGGCTGTTCTGCGGGCTCCAGGAACGGGAATGGCATGAGAAGACCGGCACGTGGGATCACAGCGGGTCCTTTTGCGGGCGCACGTATAGCATGAAACTCTGGCCCCGCTTTCCCAAACAGACAGCAGGCAAGCCATGGTGCAACCATGTGTCTCGCCGAAGGTCTTTTTGAGAAAACCCCAGCCGAAAGCAGAGAAGTTGGATCTCCGCTCTTGAGAGGCAAACGCTCGGCGCAGAGCTTCCAAGCTTCAGAGGCCGGTTCGCGGGCAGTCGGGCAGTTCGCCTTTGCCATGGCGACGCAGGCGAGCGGAGCGCAGCTCGGGCCGCGGTGCGAGCGCTCGCCTTTCTGCTGTTGAGCCGATGGCTTCGTTAGATGGCCGGCTCTACCGTAGTCCGAACGCTGCTTCGGGGGCACCTACTGGGAGACTTTGGCTATGGGTTGCTTGCTCAGAATGAGCATGGGGATATGAAGGGCGGCCGAGGTCGACTGTTCCAGAAGCTTCACTCATTCATTCCTACCCCTTGTGGCACTGCTAAAACAACAAAGCAACAAAAAGAAACACGAACTTGCTCTTCACCCTCCAAAGCAACCCCTCGGCCGCCGTTTTTTATCGCCGCCGCAGGCGCTACGCTGCGTGGTGCGATACCACCGAGGCCTTGCGACTCCAATACTTCGATTTTAGCCGTGGGCGGAGTGAAACTTGGAGGAACTCATCTGGGGTTTTCTTGGGAAGTACCCCTCTTTTGTGGATTTAAAGGGAAAGGGGTCCCCTAAAAACAAAGCTCTAAGCAAGGTGCATTGGCGCATTCGGCTCAGAAGGTTGGTCAGATTTGGTCAGATCAGGGGATAAAGCAGCCGATGTTCTGGGAAAGGGGGGGTGTGATCGTCGTTTGAATTGGGCAGACCAAATCCGTTTGTTTTTGAATAACAAGGTCGCTTTTCATGCTTGAGCCCTGCAAAGATTGGCAGGGCCTAAGAGGACCAGTTTCCCCCTGCAAGTCCAGCATGCAACCCAGCAAAGGGAGGCCTCTAAGGAGAGTTGTCCTGCCACTCATTGTGCAAAGAGCCGAACTGCTTGAATTTTAAGTGTCACACTCGTATTCTGCGAATATGTCGCAGGTGTTTGGCTCCCCCCACTGTTTTGCTACCGAGCGGGTCCTTCGACTCGTCCGACTCGAGGCATAGAGCAGCAAGAGAGCGTGCCAGAAGGTGGGTCGAAGCCGGCGCTCGCGGGCTCGCGGGCTCGCGGGCTCGCGGGACCGGCTAGGGCAGGTCTCAGGATTTCGAGCCGGGGCAAACACCGGAGCTCCCCTTTGGTTTCCTTTGACATCTGGTTGTTTGTAAGCAACATAGGATTCCTCAGGGAGGGTGATTGTAGATAAATCCCCCCATTTGGTGTATGGGTCAAAGTTCACCCTTGACATGTGGCCCATTTGGTCGTTTGTAAGCAGCACTTTGGCTAGTTGCTTTAGGTTGGCATGGCTTCAGGTTTAGGATTGCTGAGGGCTGAGGGAGGGTGAAAGTAGATGGAAACAAATCCCCTTGATTTTAGGTATGGGCCAAAGTTACTTCACTAGGGGACCGCAGGTTTGAGTCCAAGTCTCCGTTTACCAGGCTTCCACTTTGGGCCAAACTGGCCCAAAGTCATCTGAAGCTTGCCCGCAGATGAAGACCCGTACGACACACTGCTGCTCCGCATCATCATCGGCCTGCTGGGCGCCCGTGAAGCCCATGATGCATGTGGGAGGGAGAATGTGTACGCGCGCGCGTGCGTGCGTGCGCGCGCGCGCGCGCGGGTGTGTGTGTGTGTGTGTGTGTGCTTTTCATGTTGGATAGAGCTTTGGTTTAGTCTTTCGTAGATGTTTGCATTTTGTGCAACCATCCCAACAATTCAAGTTGGTGTTTCAGGGTTCCATTTTTCACTATTGTAGACGTAAACCCAGGGGTTACCAGTTTGGGCAAAGCAACCAGTTCAAGTCTACCTTAAGCCTCGGGGTGGCCACAGAATGGGTATGCGTCAAGACTACTTCACCATGGGAGCGCAGCTTTTAGTCCTTGTTTCAATTTACCAGGGCAACCATTTTTGGGGTTTCCCCATTCTTGACCCAAACCCAGTTTGTGCAATTGTCAAATACGTTTTTTCGGGACATCCATTCCTCCGACCGTTGACCAGGCCTGGTGCCCCAGAAAGTAGCGCAGACGAGGCGAGGTTCGACAGAGTGGCAAACATCATAGGGGCCCCCCCAAGAATGGCAAGAGTTTTTTGGGCAAAAAAAACACACCCTGAAAAAAAAACACCTTGCTTTTTGCGCTTGCCGCATGGGTTCTTAGGGACCATCGCCTGAAGCGTGTTTGACGCTCACAGCCAGCCAAACTGAGAAGCAACACTGTTGGTGGTGTCTCAAAGTAGGCGGACAGCCCAAAATCATCGGCTTCCTTCTACCATCAAAGCCAAAAACACATATTTGGCCATGGTTCAAAACCAATGGTACCATTTTGGGATAGGTGCACCACCCATTTTAGTCTATTTTAGTGGTTGGATTGGGATGTTCACTGGGGGTACGATTTGGCTTTTGACCCACAGCCACCTATTTTTGGAAGACTTTCTAATCCGAGAAGCCCGATCGGTTGGGCTCCATCGGCCATTGGGGTCAGGGGTCAGTGATCAAGCCTGACGTACTTGGAGTGTCTGGTTCCTGGCTCAGGAATCAGGAGCATTCAGTTTTGGACCCCTTGCGCGTATCGGCATTGGGTTTCTTTGTTTCTTTCGTGCCCATCGGAGCGGTATTTTTTTTGGGGAGAACAACGTACATCTTAAGTCGTGGGTTTTTAGAATCGGACACTCCCTTGGAAAGTGGTTGGTGGACATAAAAACCCAACCTAAATGATGTCCACCAGAGGGTTCCTGGTGCCCAAATGAGTTCTTGGGGGGCCTCTTTCTGCAACTTGGGATCCAGTTCTTTGGCAGGCGACACCAAGCCAGCTGGTAGATCGTACAGGGCTCCCATTATTGACAGACTTAACATGGTAGTTTTTTTTCTCTTTTGGTGAAGTCCACCCCTAGGTTTAAGTCTACCTTGAATAAATTTAACAGCAGTGATAGCACTTGTGGAATTGTTGAGTTTATTTTGGTTATCGTCACTAGTATTAGTATTATTACTTATATATATATATATTATTATCATTCTTTATATTGTTCTTTTTATTCATATTCTTATTCTTGTTATTATTATTATTATCATTAGTTTCATGGTGGGTATTGCGAACACAATTTCTATGCATCCAAGTATCTTCAAAAATTGGGCACCCACCCTCGGGCGATTTCGATGGTCTCTCAGTTGCAGCTCCACGGTCGCTGGGCTGCCCTGCTGCAGACCACTGGGCCAGGGAAGGGGGGGGGAAGGGGGCGGGACGCGTGCTGGGGGCTGGTGCTGAGGTATGTCTGTGTGTGTGTGTGTGTGTGTGTGTTTTTGTACTTTGTTGAGTTGGCCACCCTTTTCAGGGCCTATGAATTTCAATAGGGGGTGTGCTGGACATCATCTAGGTGGGGATTCATGTCCACCAACCACTCGTGGGTGGTTGCTTATGAAAAATAGCATATTGGAGCCCTCTGTCAAAACAATCCGTTGGTTTCATACCCTTGTGCGCCCAAGAAAACCAAAAGGTTCAGGCAAGCTCGGGGTTTAACCACACGGCCCGGCTGTGGGACAATTGGACCAGTGGCTTGGCTTCCCCATAGATATGACCGTCCTTCCGGTGTCGGCGGGACTTCGGATCCCCCCCCTCCGGTCCGGAAATTGGAGCAGAAATGGACTCCTTGCACTTTGGGAATCCGAGTGTTCTTCAAGCGCCAAGCATGAAGGCTAGATTTGCTGCCAGGTTCCGACTAAGATTGACATGGCCTT